TGGACTTCGAGGCAGAAGAGGAGGGAGAGAGGGGGGGACTCATTACTCGGAACATATCAGAAAAACAGAGTGACTTAGGAGTGAATCGTGTATTAGCCTAAAGAATTGTTAGAGATAGATTAGAGTTAGAGTATTACCTACAAAAGAACAATAAAAGAGAGCTATTTTTACCTACCTACAAGACCATCAAGCAAGTTACCCCGGACAACAAACCGGAGTAAGACGCGTTGCGGAGCGGAGAAGTACAAGAAATACCCTAGGGCGCGCCTTTCTTTCCACAACGGCGATCCATCCAAAACATTTATATCATTATTAGAGCCGGGCATGCCAAAAAATGCATGCCATAACCACAAGTCTTGTGAAGCAACCGCTTCCAAAAAAAATGGTTGGAACCTGTAAAAACACAAGCAAGAAATGAGCATCACCAAACCAAAAAGTCTACACAATTTCACATGCAGCTCACCTTCTCTTTCCCTTGGAATTGCCCAGCCCAGCCGGTTGGGCAGTTTTTCCATTGCCAATGCATGCAATCCAAGGATCTGAGCATCCCTGGAAACCCTCTCTTATTCCCAATTGCAAGTAGCCGCTTGAGATTGTCTGTGTTTGGTTCACGGAGGTATTCAGCGGCATAGATTTGGATGACTGCATGTCAGAATCTGAGCATTCACTTGTTCGAAGTTGATTCCCCAAGACGCAGGTATTCGTCATTCAAGTCGGAAGCCCCCCCGTACGCAAGCATTCGAACAGCGGAGGTGACTTTTTGAATCGGCCTCAATTCAGGTTTGCCTAAAGCATTGGCCTTTTGGATGAAATAACTGTCCTGTCCTTGGACATCTTCAACAATCCTCATGAACAGTGAACACCGCATTCAAAAGCGCCATCTAAACAAATATTCAGGATAAACAGGATCATCACAGAAATAATCCTTGTAAAGTCTCTGGTATCCTGCCTTGAAATCTCTGGGTAAGTTATGTGATCAACCAGGTCTCGATCCTCCGTGCACTGGTGGCTCTTCATCTTGAAGTAAACTGAGCATGAGATTTGTTGAGTTCATTACAAACATTCTTTGATTCAAGCCATTTGAAAATAATATTTGCTGAGTTTGAAGAACAATTTGAAGGTGCGAGTCAAAGTTGAGATCCTCGCCAAAGTTGATGTTCATGATGAAGAAAAAAAAAGATAGATTGTGAAACAAGAGCGACAGCAAAACAGAAACAAAAATAAAAACAAAACATTCCATTAAATGTGGAGGCTCGGGCTCAGAGGATACCCCCGGGGGAGGCCTGTCATGAGGATTTAGCTCCGTTTTTAGGTCCTTGCGGTGGTTGAGCAGCCTTCACCTTGGGTTGTAAAGTGAATCTGAGTCGCTAAATCTCACATTTAGCGACTCAAATTTACCTCCCCCATTGGAGATGCTCTTAGCCACCAATATGGATACTCTTAGGGGCTTGGTTAAACGACTCCCAAAAAGTGGAGAGCCAACTCCCAAGCCCTGGATTCCCCGAAAAATGGGAGTCAAGCCCCCAAAACCTTTTACTGGTTTGGGAGTTGACTCCCTAAAAAAACAATAATAAAAAATAAAAATCCCCAGCCGGTTTGGGATTTGGCCTCCCAAACTGACCAGGGTTTGGGCTCAATGACCCAAAAGACCCATGGCAGCGGCCAGGAGGATTCCTCCCAGCTGCTGAGGTACACTCTCAATGGCCGGGAGTTGACCCTAGCCTGTGAGAGT